ATTAATAAAAATATATAATTAATACATCTTTAGCTTATGTCAAAACAAATTTAAAAGAAAAAGAATTAAATTTGGCAAAAAAACCAAAGGGGGGGGAGGTGTCCTCGAAAGTCCAAAAATTGGCGGACCTACTCTGCTGTCAACTGCTGCCAGGCCCCTCTCATAGTCTCCTTTAAACAGTCGACTACCAACTCAGACATGGTTGCCAACTCAGTCCGCGGCGCCGACGCTCCTCCGTCAACGACCTCGTATCCAATTCCACCTCCTGCTCCCGCCTTGTCAAAGGAAACTTCGGTTCTTTCAACTTTTCATTCAACCCCATTTAGATTCCATGCTTTGTAGCCGTACCGTAATTACAAGATAAATTCTGTGCTTTGACTATCCGATTTTGTCGATTTGTGAAGTGTTCATAGAAAAAATCGAATTTTAAACTTGCCTAGGGCTTAAAGTCAACTCATTTACTGGAATTATGATATGGATGGTTAACTGCGTTTTCTTGCACATCGATTTTCGAATTAGGTTTTCAATTTAAAGTACTTGAACCCAAGATCGTCGGATTTATGAGGATTGCCTTTGTTATTTTAATTCGAAGCTAAGCAGCTAAGCAACAAAGTTTGCTGCTTTTCACAAAATCCCTTTACTGATCTGGCATTTAGGAAGATGTTAATCTTCAATGAATATTTTGTAGTTGATGGACCACAATGTCCTGACATTCTTTAATCTATTGCCAGTGTGAACTTTGAAGGCGGTGGATTGAGTTTTGGAGTGCTTGTGTTTTATATTAACTTGCTAGAGCTGAAGATTATTTTTTAGTTATTTTTATTCATGCTGTTAGTATCTATGTAGCATATGCTCTCTTGCTGCCTGCTTGTTTATTTCTTAAGTAACGTGATTAATCCAATTTCCTAATCAGGTCATAGCTGTTGCCTGTTGCACAAGCTGGAAAGCATTATGATAAAAAGATTTTCTTTTTCTGTTTCAGATGGAGTGTCAATGAAGGTTACTGTGGCTAATATTGATTTTCTTTTTGATTGAATCAGTGAGGCCAAAGATGCCAAATTGCTATGGTAACTATGAATATAACCTATGAGAGGCACATCAAAACCATTGGGCTAACTGGCAATCAATTCTGAATAGCACAGTATCCATTAGCTGTACTCAAGGTCTGGTGGCCCATTGTAGTTCAATACCAGCTAAAAATGAGCCTTTGGTAGGTAATAGGTGTGGCCTCAAAAAAGAGGCCCCTCCATGCTCAAAGACCACCTGGATATAACTGTTTTGGCGGTCTTAACCACAAGCTCCAGAATTTTGAGTGCTGCTGGTGTGTGGTTGGAATTATTTTATGAACTAGCACAATCCATCTCGTGTGGAAACTGGACCTAGCTGGCGGTGGGGGCACATAAACACATCATGACAGTTTATCTACTACTTGACCTTGTCATGTCAAACCCTTCACTAGTAACCAGGGTTTTGTGATAGTGGTTAACTTGGATGCATGCGGATGCTATATCACATCCTCACCTACACGTGTGAGTCTGCACACGTTTCCCTGTGTTTTCATGTGCATGAATAACATCAGTTGTAGATCACATCTCATATGATATTGCTTTTGTCATTTTTGTCCAGCATCAAAAACGCTTTTGACTTCTGGAGACCTGCATCCCTACAGTGTTGAAGATGGTATGGTTTTTCATCCATCATGGTCCAGATATAAGCCGGAGCCAGATCAAATTCTTGTTGTACTCTAAAAGCACTCACTTCTTTCTGAAGAATGATACTGTACTAAATAGAACGACCATTAATGCTTCCCCTTCTTCAGAAGCTGTCAAATATGTTCCTCGCCCAATGTATGTCTGTTCTTTCATTTTTTATCTTAAAAGTTTCTCCTTAAATTAAATGAAATTAATTTAATAAGATGAAATGGATAAATCTTTAGCACAATTTATATCAACATACTCAAAGTATAACCTAGCCTGCCCTACCAAAGCAGCAGGAATCTCCTTTCTCAAAGTAAGCTGCTAGATGCTGCTACAAATGGCCGTTTGAGAAAAAGTTATTTCTGATTGTATGTTTGCTCTCCTCTATATCCCAACAGAGAAGACAAAATCCCCATAATCAAGGAGAAAACCGTACTAAGACACAATCATCAAACCCTTAAACAGGGCAGAAGGGAAGATGCCCTTCCTTTCGGTTTATCAGATAGAAACCAATTACATACAATCGTGATGAGTTCATATCTATTACAAAAGAATCGAGATCTTTTTCCCTTAATTTCCTGCCCATCAAATATTTCAAGAAAAAAGAAACAGAAGAATACAAAAAGGAAAAACTAAAAAAGCAAACCCCAGAACCCCAAATTCAAAAGTATAGGACTATGAAGTATGAACAGTGATCGCACACCCAAGCAAAAAGACTTGCCCTGTTAACATCATTTTAGAAGCAACTCGTGCATAGAGTCAGGACAGGCAAGTAGGTCAAAAGTTTTGTTGCCTAGTGCGTCTTTCAAGATTGTTATCTGACCTTCCTTCAAAAGTATGTCTTCGTCTAGAGTCTCGATCTTCTTCTTCAACAAGTTAACCTCAGAATTCAAAAGCATGTTCTTTTCATTGTACTGCTTCACTTCCTCCCACATCAAATCTCTTTCCTCAGAAATCTTGGGCAATATTCCCTTCATGATTGTTAGTTCCTTAGTGGATTCTTGAAGATCATTTTGAAGATGGTTTATGTTGTCATCTTTCTTCAACATCTGTTAACGAGAGTAAAATATAATTATGGAATCCTTAAATCAAATTATCCCATCAAGAACTAAATATCAAACATCAAACCAAGCCAACTTCGGTAAATAAATCTTGCATCTGCTATTCAAACAAGTATTCAGATCATTGACATAAATGTATTGAAAACACAAGTCAAAATTCTGTAAAATAGGGAATATAAATGGCTACCTGAAGTTCAAGATCCTTCAGTCTGTGAGTTAGACAAGAAATGTTGTCCATTGCATTTTGAACTTCACACCTGAGGATATCATTACCCCTCACTGCTGCCGCCAACTCAGCTTGCAGTTGTTCCACCTCCAGCTCTTTGGAATATAGTTTTTCTCTCAACAAACTGGTTAGTAAAATTTCTGCTTTAAGCTCAGTCTGTGTAATTTCCTAGAAGAATAAAAAGAGACAAGATTTTGAACCAGGATTTAACACCAACTTAAATGCACACATTAGATCAATAGCTCAAGAGAAAGAAGCAAGTAAAATCTAAGTGAACATACTTAAAAAGAAACAAGTAACAAACAGATATTCAGTAGATTTCAGAAAAAACTCACCTGATCATTTAGTTTCCTTGACCTATTAGGTTCCTGAGATTGCAATTCACTGGATTTCTCATGCAGCAAACTGGATGTTGTTTGCAAACTCCTTGTAAGATTTTCAGTTCCACGTTTAAAGCCCTGCACTTTCATGTCACATTCAACAAGAAATTGACCATTTAAACCATTCCTGAATAGCTCTAAATCATGTTGAGTTTCTTGTTGCTGGTTTCCTTTTCCTTTGATGAAAGCAAGCAACCTAGAACATAACTGATTACTCTCATTAAGCATTGACAGTCCTTGATTTTGCAAGTAACATACACGAGTCCACATCTCCTTGTCTAGCTTGAATGTTAAAGCACCAACATTTTTCCCATTGCCTTTTAAACGATCCAACAAGTTGATATTTTCATGGCGAAGAGAGTCAACTTCAACCCTGTAAGATTCCAACTCCCTTCTCAAAGACAATTCTATTCCTGTCAACCTCATCTGCTCCATTTGCAATTTTGCCACCTGCTTATCAAATTGCTCAGATGAGTGCTTCTTCCCAAGTTCCTCTGCATATCCTTCTCGCAACCCCTCAATTGTCTTCTCTTGTTCACTGCATGTTCTCAACAATCTTGTAATAGATTTTTGCAACTCCTTGCATTCATTCTCCTTCTCTTCAAAATTTCTTTTAATGCAATTTACATCTTCACTTGTTGCCCTATACTTCTCCTGTACCTCAGAGAGGTTTCGTCTTAAATCCTGATTCTCATTACTTAGCTCCTCCACTCTTTTGGTCAGCTCCTTTAGTTGTTGTTCTGAATATGTTATCATGCTCCTGCTTTCTGTTTCCCTCTGATTAAAAGATGAGACTTCCCTCTGAAGTGAAACATTATGCTCTGCTAACTCTCTAACTCGCTCACGAAGCCTTTGTTCTTCAAACTGGTACTTCTCAAGCTTTACTGACCAATCACCTGACCTTCTATCCAACTCCTTCTCCAACCCCAGCTGCAATTCATCCTTTTCCTTCTCAAGTTTTTTGGTCCGTGACTCTAGATCCACCTTTGCCATTATGAGTTCTTCCTTGGCAGAAGCCCTGTCCAAAATTCGAGACTGTAGAAGGCCTGAAACCTCAAGTGCCAAGTTCAATTTCTCCTCTGTTAAGTGCCTAATGGTCTGGATTAGTGATGGAATATCAATCCCACTATCGCGAAGAAAGCTTTCTTCCTCGAGCTGTTCAGAAAGAAGCATGACCCTCTCCTCAGCCTCCTTAGATTTTCTTTCTAATTCCACATCTAAATCCTCTTCTTCAAAAGAGTTTAAACCCTCAGGATTGACTGTAAAGTAACAATCTTGCTTCTTGAGGCCGCTGTAATCATTCCTTCTATTAACAGTTTTGTAAGGTCCATCAAATGCATGACTTTTTTGGATGAGCACATCCAGATCTGGATCGAGGCATCTATTCAAGGAACCACCATAAACATCTTCAATTGTGATTGGGACATCATGGTTAGGCTCCTTTAAATTTGACCTGGGAAAAGTGCGAGTCTGAGAGAGCTTCTCGATGACATTCTTTGCAAGGCTACGAGGAGATTCATGGCCAAATCCATTTTCCACCCAGTCTCTGGAGGAAAAGTGAAGACAAGTACCTTTGGCTTCCCTAAATGACTGAGACCTGGGTTTATCTCTGGAACTATCTGTTGTTAAGATGGAGGCAGCATAATGAACTTTTGGAGGAAGCCTCCCACAACCATTCCCACTCCCAGAATTATTTCTCTGGGAACTGTTCTTGGGCCTGCTCCTTTCCAGCTGCTCCTCTCCCTCAATGTACCGATCTATAACTGTGGTTGAGACATTGCTTGAGCAATAGGACGAGCTACTGGATGAATCATGGTGTGTCCCAGAAGAACCAGGCTGCTCTAGTGCATGTGCTGCAAGAATTTCTCCGATTTCACTGTGTTTAGTCCTGGACTGCCTCTCTCGATTGAGACCCCTACCACTGGCATGAACCAAAATCCCAAAAATTAGTTTAACACATCAAATTTGACTTATGGAGGTAAAAAAATGATATATATGCATGTATATTTCGAATCCAATTCACAAAAACAATGAATTATAAACAAATTCACATAGCAATGAAAATTACATCTCCAAATGCTCACCCAGGCAAATGTTTGTGTAGTTGTTGTTGGGTGCTACTGGCACTACTAGGAGACCTGTTTCCATCTACAAGAAAGGCAGCTGAAGATAAGGAGCGGCTCCTTCGGAGACGTGAACCACTAACAGAGCTATTGCTTTCAGATAATTGTTTTCTAGATTTCAGAAACGCCCCTCTGGGGCTACCACTTTCCAATGGATTCTCCCAGTAAACCTGCTTCTCTGTTGAGGGTGGAGAATCCACATTACTACTACCATTGTTGGAGGAAGATTTGAAAAAGAATAACTTCTTCATCTGAATTACTTCAACATGAAAATTTCCCAACCAATTCTGATACTATAACAAGTCTCAGAAAACCTGAAAGTTGAAAACATAAGCCACAGAAATTAATGAAAAAAAAAAAAGGGAGAAAAGTGCACAAACATCATCAAGATCAGAGGAGAGTGAGGGGTAAATTATAAAGCAAATAAAAGAACAATAGATCTTAGTTCAGAAACAAGTACAAACTGAAATTAATCTAAGAGTTGCAGCCTTTTCAGTTTGCAAAGAATCAATTAATCGTATAAAAAGAGAAAATTGAAACAATAAACCCCATCCATACTAACCATTTTCAATCCCTTAAAACCCCACAAAACCCAACATCTCCATCGAAGTCATATGCTTAAGGATTATAAAAAGTACGGACTGTGACCTTCAGAGTAAAAAATTCAAAATTTTGGAAATTTATACGGTAATTAAAAAGAAAAAAACTTGGTTTGCTGTTTGGTTGCTGAGAAAGAAAGAATTACCAAAAGAAAAAAGGAGGAAGGAAACAGAGAACGGAAGAGAGCGTGCCTGAGAATTTTCCCAACAAACTCTTTTTCTTCAAACAGTCAAAAGATCCGGAAAGGAAGTTGAGAATTCTCCGAATTTTCAAAAAAAATCTTCGCAATTAAACACAAACAAGAATGGGGGAATATGCAGTATTTACTGATTATCGTTAATGGGGAGATTCGGAGATTCTTGACTCCCAGGAAAGTTCAGGAATTTAAAATTCGAAAAACGAAAATGAAAATTAAGAAGCCGAAACTGAAGAGGGCGAGAAAGATTTTCAAAGGCCGCGGTGACTAAAGTGAGTGTAAGAGGAGAGAGAAAAAGAATCTTACTTGGTCGTTTAGTTATTTAATGGCTTTAATGATGGCCGGCGTGGAGTAACGTTCGATATCCGGCAGTGGAAAAGTTCTTGTATGACGGCGACGGTGAAGGCGAATATCATGGGGTCAGATAAAAAGAGAAAGTGGAGGGGATCGAGGGA